AGGACTTGGCCGCCACGTCGGAGCTTGTCGGGGATTAGGCAACGCGCTGCAAGCTCGGGCCACAGGTGTGGAGGCAGCGGGTGTGAACAAGGTATGTCTGGAGGGGATTAGGCAACGTGCTGCAAGCTGGAGCCACAGGTGTGGAAGCAGCGGGTGTGAACAAGGTATGTCTGGAGGGGATCAGGCAACGCGCTGCAAGCTGGGGCCACAGGTGTGGAAGCAGCGAAGGGGAAGAAGGGAGCTCTGGGCTCATGTGGATCGGGCTCACCTCAAGCCGGATGTCCCACCGGTCTGCCAGTCAGCGGACCAGGATCACGATGCACTCCCTTCTCTCTCAGAATAATGGGCGGCACGTCAGCTTGTCGAGGATTACCCAAACCTCCAGAAGACAGGGACAAATCCACTATCAGATGCATCAATCTAGTGGGACCGGGAAGAGACCACGAAGCAAATGGAAGACGTCATTCAGCGCGTTACAGGTGCCCAACAAGGGGGCAACCGCCTCTTCGTAGGTCTGGGCCTTCTGCACGAACGCTTCCCGTGGTCACTCGCCGATCGCGCAGTGCTCTCGGTGCCACGCATCTGTCCGCTGTTTCTGTCCCAGATCCCCATCCTTTCTGGGGATGTGCACCTGGGGTTCTAGCATAGCCATGCGCGAGTGCCCCAATGAAAGGCCACACACATATGCGTCGGCCTTCATTGGGACAATCGGGCACGGCTATGCTACATGGATGTGATCAACGTGATCAATTTGTAATGGATGTGACCAGCGTCGAACCACGGGCACTATATACATACACACTATATACACACACCAATAGTGGAAGTTCTGTGGAGCCCATGTCATATTTCTGTATGCAATATTACTGACACAACTTGCGTCAGTTCACAAGTTGGCCGATATCTGTCCATAAACGTGGCAAGCGAGCCAAGCCAACATGTGAATTGGGGTCCCATGAAGTCAGCCTCACAATCTGCCGCACCAGAGGGTCCATGCTGGAGAAGACCAATCAGAAGATTCACATTGCTCTGCCACATGTGAGAGCTTCTTGCTGCCCCTTTTAATATCTTGAAAGTAGTCCAGCCCCATCAATTCAAGTTCAACAGATTTCATGTCACTAACAGAAAATTCATGTCGCAGGTTGCCAATAGCTTGGAAAGGACAGTCAGATCAGAGTCCCTCGTTGCATCATACAAAGGAAAAATACTTCTCTTGCAGGTATCTGGAATGCTCATTCATCCAATAGTCAGCCAATGAGACGTCCCTCTCCAAAACAACACAACATTTCTTGATCAGCATCTAATTTGGCACAAGGATGTATATATTTCCTCTGTCCAAGATTAACTGTCCTCTACTTGAAAGATAAAATTCGTTGCAAGGACGGCATTCAAATTGTAAAGCAAGCTCAAAATCGGAAATGTTGGACTGAGAAACCCTTAGCTATCATTTTCCAAGAAAAAAAATGAGATGCGAGCCTTTGAGCGTTAGGCGAAAAGAAAATTTTAGTCATTCTTGACAGCAAATACCGAAGTTAACTAGGTAAAAGACCCTTGATAACAAATGCTGCCAAATCCTCAATACTCAATCGATTGACTTGAAATTTTGATAGTATGCTCCAAACTTACAACAAAATTGCGGTTGAAATTTCATTAAAATTTGTTGTGGGTACCACGGAGAAGTGAAGCTCAAAGTCATAGAGGACGATTCATCTTGTACAAGGGAAGTGATTCTAGTGAGAAGGAAGCTTCCCTGGGCAAAACTTGGGCCCTTGGGAAAAACGTCTCCTCACCATGTCTATTGTTTTAATACACTACCAGCAAATGCATTCTGTAGCGCTATCCATATGACATTGCATGAATTTAGTCCGCGAGGATGGGCAGCAGCACATTATTTCTTGTTTCCATATGCTGGCAGACACAAAGGGCGGCGCAGACCGTGACCTAAACCAAGCAGAGATAAGGACAGGATTTGGACACCATTTAAATTAAAAAAAGGATAAAGGAAATCGAATGAAGATCAGCCAGTCTATACCGTCAAAAGCTTAATTTTTTATTGCTTAAAACCAGGCTTGCTTTTCACTCCGTAAAAACTGACTGCATTTACGTTTTAACGCGTATTTTTTTTACATTTTACACGCAAAATTGAGCAAAATTACGTAAATACAACATAAAAACTGCCCAGTGTACATAAGACAGTACATACAGACTTACGGAATCCGGGGAGTGGCAGCCAGCGCCATGAAAGGAGCAGAAAGCGATTTTTTTAAACGCCATTATCGCCCTTGCCAAGGGCGAGGTGGACATTGTGTTGCTGTTTTTGGAGAACTGATCACTGTACGCAACTTTCATCGTGTAACCTGGGTGTCCCAGGGAGCCGCAAAAATGTAAAATAGCCGTAAATGTAGGCCCTTTTGCATATTTACGTTCTTACGCGTAAAAATGTGAACGTAAACATAGAAAACAAGTCTGCTTAAAACTGATTTAACTGATTAAATTATTAGCGCTTCTCGAACGAAGTCCACTGTATTTAGGCTCAGAGGTTCTTCATATGCAGCCAGTGGCAATTGCTGGTCCATTTCCTTTGTCAGTGGTTGTTTGGGCCTGTCTCTAAAAATTGGAAGCATGCAAAGCAAACAAGACAATTAGGTAGCGAATGGTGTAACCTGTTCGCATTTGATGTTGGAGTACTTCATTGAAAACTGCCTGACACTGTGCGGCAGCAGCAGCAGCAGCAGCAGGTGAATTGATCCCCCTTTGCAATGGGCCCATTGCAGGACAATTGTACTGCCTGAATCCAGAAGCGAAATACTCGTATCAAGAATATTAATATATTTGCCTGTGTGCGGCCATTCGCAGCAGCTGTTCTGATGGTTGCAGCATGTGTAGAGTGAATGCGATCTGATGTGCAAGATACCGCTGCGAAGAAATAACCACGGCTGCTGCTCTTCTTGCGGAATCGCCCCAGGAATTCCCTGTTTGGTTAAGCTCTCATGTGTCGTGATCGACCAAAAGTTCAATCATTTGGAGGAGAAGGGCGTATCATGGCTGGAAATCGTCTGCCTGCCGTCTCGAATTTCGTCTGTTTCGAATGTGGTGTCCATTTGCAGCTTCGCAGCAGTTCTACTGACAAATCTCCGCGCAGCCATGCGGTGACATTTTTCAACGAGGTTTGTTCGAGGCTTGCATCTCGAGCGCACCTCCATCATGAGTATCTCGGTAGCAAACTAGCTAATCTTTTTCTATGATCGTGCGTTAATGTTTTGTGGTTGTGTGCCCGTCTCGGATTCTGCCTGTTTCGCCGTCCTGTTTCCATCGATTCACGCACAGCACAGGCAAAGGCATCCTTTTGAACGTTTTCCGCCTTGCGAACACTCGGTACCATGACATGAGATTCGGAAGGGAGATAACCGTGCCCAGGAGGTCGCGCTCTCTATTCGTTTTTTCCATGTGCATCGATCACATGTGTCCCAAACGCGTATTAAGCAGCAGTAATTCAATTTGAGCGCTATTGTCTGACACGGCGCTGGCTGGCGACAGATCGGAAGTGGACGGTGGAATACGGTTATTTAAGCACAACCGTACAGGACGGTTCGGGGCCGTCGGGCTCAGGCGCAAGGATCACGGCCTGGTGTCTCAACCGCTGTTTGGGTATCTTTCTGTTTCCAATTTCCATACGCACTAGTTTTGGATTAGAATGGGCGTCAGAGATCGTGGCTATCGCCGCAACCCATTCGGAGGGGTGGCATTGAGGAGCTGGATCTATTTTTGACCTCGGAATCATGGGAGGAAAAAAATAAGGGACATGAAGAGTGGAGTATTTGCCATTGACCCAGTGCAATCCTGAAAACATTGTTGCGGAGTACTCAGCAATTTCCATGAGCAATTCATGGACATCGGGAGAGTTGAGAAGCGGACAGCCACATCCCTCTCTTGATAAGCCAGTTTTCTTGACTGAATGCACCCCTTTCAAGGAAATATAGTTGATCAACCTTGGTTCTCTTTTGAAATGTGCCTCCAATGCACAGATCCATGGATGCCTTAGTCAATGGCATCTTGTCTTCTTTGGAGCCTCGCACAAGATGTGGTGGAACGTGTACCAACGATAGATTAATTACCCGATCAATCAAGCACAGCTGAATGTTTAAATTTGGTTCGTTGCCTTGCCGGCGCAAAGCCAGCATTGTCATGTGCTGCTGGACGCATTGGATGAGAATTCAGTCCGCCACATACAAGCGACCCTAAATGGCGAGAAATTCAATCGAGACTGTTGCGACGCCATCATTGCAACGAATTTCTGGCCAGTGAAACAGGTTTGCTCCCATGGGCTTGATTGGAGCACTCTGCACTTCCTTCGCTCGAGCTGGATATGGATTTCCCTTTCACAATGCTGTTGCTTACAAGCATAATCAGTAACAAAACAAGCTACCTGTCGATGGCATCACCATCCTAATTTCCAGCCCATCCACATCCTAACAAATGCGCAGTGCGCCTGGCCATAAGTCCCTTGGTCAACCCACTAATGCGTTATATCAGCCCTGAATGATGACCGTATAGTCCCCTTTGCTGGGTGCCAGTCATTGTGCGACTGGCCTGTACGTGACAGGTCACAACTGCGACCAATGCATAGCCCACCACCAGAGTCAAAGTCAAAGTCAAGTCCGCCAAAGCATGGGCAGCGTCGGCACAGCAGGCATCCCGCTTCCCCCTTGTGCAGTGCTGCCTTTCGGCAGGTACCCTCTCCCTTGGCCTCATTGCTTTTCTGTTCCATAACATTACCAGCGCCGTCTTTTTCGTCCACCCTTCATATCGATGCTGTGCAATTTGTGGGCACTGACACCTGATCTTTGACATTTGGTTGTTTGTGCCCGGGCCAGGGGCATGACAAATCGGTTGTCAATACATTTCCAGCCAACAACGGCCACGATACCCACGCCCTCCTCCTCTTGTCTTCCCATTATCGTGACGGATTTGTGCCATCCTCCTCCAGGCGCTCGCACACCTCACGAGGTAGGGTAGGAGTGAAAGAACTTCCCAGGGTTGAAGTTCTCGAACCCGGGCGGCAGGCCGTCGTATTTGGGCAGCTCGTCATGGACGTCCTCTACCCTGTGGGTGTAGAGGGCGTGGCACTGCGGCTTGACATCGTCCCAGGCCAACACCTTGCCGTCTGGGCCCCTCTCCAGGTTCGCAACCGGCATGTCCACGCACTCGTAACCCTCCACGGGGATGTCGTTGTACACGTGGGAGGCGCACACCTTGCAGCAAAGCGGCGACAGGGACAAGCGCTCAGGCGCCGGGCCCAACAGCGGCCCATGGGGAAAGCAGCCAACAAACAAGGGGCATTGGATATGTAACGCGGCCTGCAAATCCACCGACATGTGGTTGTACATGTGGGAAGTCCAAGCCTTGCAGCGAGGCGGCGAAAGGCACAAGGACTCAATCGCCGGCCTGCCAGCGGCGAAGGAAGGAGCAGCAAACAAACAAGGGTACACAAAACATGCATCACGGGCAGCATGTCCACAGACACGCCGTTGTGCATTTGGAAGGCGCGAGCCTTGCAACAAAGCGGCGAAAGGCGCAAGCACCCAGGCGCGGGTCTGCCAGCGGCGAATGGAAACGAGCAGCAAGCACGGGCGCCCAGGCGCGGGCAGAGGAGAAGCAAGACAAAAGATCGTTTCTCACTGTCCCAGCTGTCATTGCTATATTATCGCACGCCCCTTGTTTGTCTTCTGCTCGCAAGCAACGGACAAACAGTGCACGTAAAACCCGACCAACGGGCAGCAACAGATAGAACCCTGCGAACGCATCTGCGGCTGACGCAACACGGCGCCATGCCCGCCGTCGGGAAAGGACACCGGACAGTCTCACCTTGCAATGGTACCGAACGAGCTTTTCGCTGGTATTGAAGCAGGCTATGAACTCCTTGGACTCGGGCGTGGGAGTGATTGACCCCGCGGCGAAGTTGGCGAAGGCGATGTAGGGCGCGCCGTGCGTCCTCTGACAGATCGTGCAGTGGCACGCGTAGGTGGTTGCCACCGGGCCCTTGACGTCGACCTTCACTTTTCCGCAGAAGCACGAGCCCTTGTAGGTGGGCGCCTCGCCGGAGTCGGCGCCGCCCTGGCCCTCGGTCCCCGCCGTGGTCGCCATCACGTGCGCGCTGGCAGGAGGCCAAGGGCGAGGACGACCAAAGCGCCCAGGAGGACGCCGCGCTGGCGTGCTTATGTGGAGCAGCACCCGCCGGCCACGTCAGGGCGTGGCGGAATTAGGCGACGCACTCCCACACGGTGTGGGAGCAGCCACGGGGAAGGAGGCTGGTCCGACGCGGCATGCGTCGGGGGTGGCCCCAAGCCCGCATCCCACTGGCTTGCCAGCCAACCGTACATTGATGCAATCCCTTCTCACTCAAAACAACGGAAAGCACCAGAAGACAGCGACAAACCCACCAGCAGATGCACCAACCAAGTGGGACCGGGAAGCGACGGAAGGGGCCGCAAGGCGTCGTTCAACGCCGTACGGGTGTCCAAAAAGTGTGGTGGCCATCGCCTATTCTTGGCTCTCGACGTTCTGTGTCGACGATTCCCGCAGTCACTCGCCGGTCGCGCAGCACTCTCGGTGCCGCGCATCTCTCCGCGGGTTTTCTCGCTGCTCCCCATCATTCTGAGGATGTGCACGGGCTTTCCAGCATAGGTGTGCGCGAGTTCCCTAATGAAAGGCAACACGCAGAGCCCGTGTTTTGACGTTGATCATATCCATTTTGACCTGAGCGATGATGAGGACAATAGTGGAAGTTCTGTGGCGCACATGCCGTAGTTCTGTGTGCAATGTCACTTGCATGACTTGTGTGTATGTTTACAACTTGGAAGACGACTGTTCGTGAACACGACAATTGGGCCAAATCAAACCCATGTTGGGGTACCCATGAAGTCAGCCGCACAATGTGACGTTCCAGAGGGTCCAGGCTCGAGATCACCGACGAGACCACCCACATTGCTCCCCCACACGAGAGAGCTTCCTGTTGCCCCTCCTAATATCTTGAAAGAGGTTAAGCCCTATTAAAGTCAACTTCCCTGGATTTCATGCCACTAATTCAGGATTGGCGTGAAACCGGACCATCACAACGCAGTTTCCTCATTACCTTTCCGTCCTAAAAGAAAAAAGTTCTAATGCTGGGCAGTAAACACAACTAACATTGACGCGTGCGCAATCCTGCCAATCGCCCAGGCAATTACAGTTGGTGCACAGAGGGCGCGCCTGCCAGCTAGGAAGCTCAAGAGCTGTCCGGAAAGCCGTCGCCCTGACATAAGGGCGCAAGGGCCCAACCTGATGACGGCTTCCGTGCTGATGCAGGACGGCCCTAGCACCTGACAGCATGGTCGTGCTTGGAACGGCCCCCGACCCGTCGGAATGAGCGCACATGAGCGCGATGCCCAAAACGCAAGAATGACAATTAGACCGTGCGCGCTGGGTGGGCCGGGTTGCAACGGCGTGCCTGCGTCTCTGGCAAGCATTGTTGGCTTGGTGGCTGTGACAAGGCACGCCCGCGTTTCCAGAGAAGTTTAACCTTGATGTCGATGGCAGCGATTCCTCCCAAACGCGTAGCAATCCCCTAGAAACAGCCACAAAGGGCAGGGAACTACGGCCGAAGCTTCCTCAAGCGCCTTCTCGCTCTCAGAGCTCCTCAGAACGGAGCAATGGGCGTTAGCGGCAGAGGCGGCCGCGAATTACGCAGCCCAGCGGCCCGGCCCCAGCCCCTCGCTTCGATGCCCCATTTGGGAATACCAAACTGGGAGAGCTTAATTTCTGCTCAACCACGCAACCAAAGCGGTCGCAAAGGTGGGCATCAAAGGTGGCCAACTCCGCAATGGCTGGGTGTCCTTGAGGCCAAGGATTTCCTAAAAAACAGAAATCTATTGGCCCACAGACAATGTCTTGACGAATTTTGCGGCCAAGATCAATTTCACGTATTTTCTTCATGGAGACCAGTTGGGCGCTCTCATGTAAATGACACAACAAGCAAGGCGGTCATTCGAACGGCGTCGTGAGCAGGATCGAATTCTGCCACAATTTGAAGTTCATTGTGTGGTCCAAATCACTGTGCACACCAATTTTCGTGCAGTGTGGCATTCCAAAAGTTGATGGCAATGCGTGGAACACATTTCTCGTTGAAGCCATCTGATGGATGGTGACTCCACAAAGTACAAGTGGGAGTGCAATTGCACTAAGACAAAAGGCCGCGGGCTCTCTATATTTAATATTGAAAAATACTGCTAATTACAAATATTGTAACATTTTACAAGAAGCGATCGTCATAGAGTCCCCATTGGATCATACAGAGGAAAAATACTTCTCTTCCAGGTCCCTGGACTCCTCATCCATCCAATAATCATCCAATGAGGCGTCCCTGCCAAAGAAAACAGAACATTTCTGGTCAAGAATCAAATTGGCACAAGCGCGTATGCGACGAATTTTGTCAACATGAGCTGCAAACGTGATTTGGATCACCGTAGATTTTTGTCTGTGCCTTCGCCAAGTGTCTCATTCCATGTTTCTATGAACAGCAGCCCACTATGTGCAGCCAAACAACAATTCCACGGTCTCCCAAGATGCAAGGAACAGGCAGCCAAAATTGCCATCACAAATTGCCTTCAAACCCATACATAAAGTTGAGATTAAAACAGCTGATTGCCTTGTGGCACTGCCCACCCCGCACCAGCGATTCATTTGGGGTGCACGTCTCTGATTGTTGAAGCGGCAATGAATTGTCATTACTACGATGAAAGCTATGCACATGCGTCACACGTGCCTCTTGGGCAAAATTGAATATTTATTTCGCATTTTCACAGACAAGTTCCGTTGTTACTCAGCGCTCACTCCCACACGCGCTCACTCAAGGATAAGAGACACGCAGGAAAAGGATGCATAACATGAAACATTGCTTTCTCAATGTTTTCCACATCGCAATGAGCACCATATCATTGCCATTTGTTCACCATCCTTCACTGTCTCCAGGTTCACCTTTCATGCGCCATAGCTTGCCATTATGTTCGCAAATGTCCGATTGCTTTCACATCCAGATATGCATGGCCTCAGGGTTATGAAGGTCATACTTCAGACAGTTCTTTAGGTTCTTATGTTAAGGGTTGATGGTAGCATACCCTCGCACCCTTCATGACCCTCATATCCGGAAATGACAGGCATCAGACAAGCCTCACCATGTTTAACACGCGCACCATGTTTACCTCATTCACCATATGTTGTTATTAGTTGTTCTCACATGCATAGTAGAGTGAATCACGGAGAATAGCTCCCCCCCACCGCCCCAACCCCCACCCCTGCGCCCCCCGATGACCTCGGTTTGAGTGATGGTAGTATGGAACTGGACATTGAGAATCTTGAGGACATGGTGTTTGATTGAAGGAGGAATGTCATGGCAATGTTTAGTGGGAGTGGACTTGATAACATGGGGGCGATATCGCACGCATTGAGATGTCAGAACGTGTGAAGATGCTTTTGCATTGTGGTTGTACGTGATGCTGAAATGAATAGTGCCCCACCACGCTATGTTGCATACCCCCAGCTGCCCTCCGCAACACCAGCCATGTTTGATAACGCCGGGGCCGTTATCCAAAGGCCCCCGCACTATTCAACAACCCCTGCGCTTTCCTCCCTGATCTACGGAATACTACCAACCTGTGCATTCTCTATCCTCATCTATGTAGCAATGCATATACTACGTAGCATCCTATGTTTTTTTTTCATTTTTGCGTCCTGATTATCCTATACTATGTGCATTATCTTATCTGCGAGGGTGGGTGGCTACCTGGAGTTTCTTGTTTCCATGCACTGGCTGATCCATACACCGCTAAACTCGCCAACGACTACCAGTATTGAGAACGTGAGTATGGCATACATTGACAAGAGCACGTATCTGCACATGCATCTGGTGACCTGTGTGAAGTATTTCGCCGCCTTTGATCCGCTGCCTCTGATATGTGTGTGTGGGCATGTGCTAGAATGGTGTTCAAGTGGTCGCTGCTTGTCACTGCAATGTGGTGTCAAAGCACCACTTTCCAGCATAGATGCATGGAATGGCAATCCTTGTTTCATCACGTGAATCTGCGCGTGTGTTCGACAGGCATTTTCAGCACCACTGCCATGCAAAAAGATTCATGTGTAGTGGTCAGTTGTCAATATCTTACCCATCAATTGCAGCATAGTTGATAAACGCAGAGTCCTCACCGGCCAGAAACCTTTCCTTCATCAGCCGTAGAAAGTCACCCTCCTGCATTCGGCACAACAAGCACTCCCTTGAGTCCCAATATCGCGTCTAACCTTTCCATGACGCCAAACTCTTTATGTTGCAGCTGCCACGACATTCGACTGCCCGTGAAGATTGCCTTGCACAAAAAGCTTCGTGGCTTGAGTGCAATGGCATGCACAGCAGCATCCAAGTCAAGCATTTTTTCTTTGCTACAGCCACAGATCCCTGTGCCAATCGGTACCATTGAGGGCAACCCATGTCCATGAATGAAACAAAGAATGCAACTAACATCATCAAACAGCATGTTAACTACCCTCCACAGCATGTGGCCAAGGGTTCGAGTCCATTTTCAATCTCTGAGCTTGAACACCAGTGCAGGTTTTCAGCAAATTCCTCCTTGCACAAAGGGCTGCACGAGTCACAGAGCGCATGACGCATCAATTGTTGTCAGATGGAGTATGTGTGAGATACAGTATATTGATCGCTATCAACACACGTCACATAGCAGAATATTAGTTACTTCCATTGGAAAAGCCAAGTAGAACACTATTCGACAGACAGAAACTCCTGATTGAAACAATGCATATCACTGTTTCCAAACCTGTACCCAAACAAAACAAAATATTCTGTGCAACATGCTGCCATTCTGTGCCTTGTCTGTGGCCAAGCACAACATGTCCATGCCGGCAGTGCATTCCAAGGACACAATCACACAACAACCACTGGCCCCACCAGATCTTTCCCTTCATCTTCTGTTGGTGCAGCACAACTGTGGATGATCTGATGCTCTTCAGCCACAGATGCAGAAGCCTGGGGTCTGTCATCATCAGTCTCCATCGCATTGGTACTCACATCTTCATTGCCAGTTTTAGGTTCTTGTCCTTTG